GGCGTGTGCTACTCTCTACTGCGTTTGCATCAATCTGATTCGTCAAGGTTTGGTACTGCAGTACAATGCTTTCGCCGGCGCCGTGGATATTACCAGACCCACGGCAGCTAGTACACAATCCATGTGTGGTATTGAAGAGCAGTTCGTCATCAGAAAAGAGGAACCGGGTGTCGAGCGACAGCAGACTACCACGAGTTACCTCTCATGTGTCGCCCAAACCTGTGATCGCGACATATCATAGCAACATTGCCGCGTCACGATGCGCTCCGGTACACCGGACCGATGATCCGAGTCAGATTGAGCGGCCCCCTCATGAGCGCGATGCACCTGGAGTCTTCCTCCACCACGTCCTTTCCACACCTCGTTTACAAAACTTCGAAAATTTTATACAGGACTTGCAGATAAAACTGAAAACTTATGTCTGTAGAGTCATCATCAGGCCCAAGTGCCCTCAAGCGTGTGGACAAGCTCGTCATCACATTCTTGGTGGATAATAGCATAGAATGGTATGCATTTGACTATCCGAAAGGCAGAGACATTCTCATAGCGATTTGTAGGTTTGGAAAACTTCCTCCCGGCTTCACGCATGAGTTGCGTGTTCATTTGTCACAGGACCCGCCGATAGATCCTTTGACGGGCGTACCGTTTCTGGATCTCGAAAACTACTGCTGTGGTGAGTACACACACTTCACGAGTTTCTCATCTCTGTATCATTGACATTTTGACTAATTTGATAGGTGCACACGGATTCTCTGCTCTGATCGTAAGACCTCTTGAGATGTCCTCGGAGTCTGGGTGTCTAACCTTAGGCCTATAACGCTGAAGGAAACGCAAGTAGAGGGTTCGTCCGAGACGCACACAACACTCTTCGACACAGGCCCCGAGTCACGCAGCATTGTGCGGAATATGGCTGCACTCAAGATAAACCCAGAGCGCATCGAGCGCATCGTCCTCTCACACTGGCACTCAGATCACAGCGGCGGCATACTCTCCGTCCTCCGCCAGCGCAACATGGCGCGGAGGCCCTATCCTTCGTCTGAAGTCCCAGAACCATGCGTCGTAGACTTACATCCTGACCGCCCTATCGGTCGCGGGATCATGCCACCTGGGACGGGCAAGGTTGCAGCACGCCTAGCGCCTGACCCGACGTTCGAGGAGATTGAGGCGCTGGGCGCGAAGGTGGAGACGAGGGCGGACGGGCACGCTGTGGCCGACCGCGCGGTTTGGGTGAGTGGAGAGATTCCGCGAGTGATGGAGTATGAGAAGGGGCTGTTAGGCGGGATGAGGTGGGTGCAGGGAGTGAATCAAGGGAAGGGCGAGTGGGTGTCTGAGCCGGTGATTGATTCCTAATCGTTACTTCAGGAGAGAAGTATAACTAAATCCACTTCGACGCATTTAGCATATCATGGACGAGCGGTATGCGGCAATTGATGTGCTAGGGAAAGGCCTTGTCATTTTCTCGTCGTAAGTGCATCCCATCAGGTACAAACCACGAGTGATATTTTGGCTCATGTACGATTTGCTTTAGCTGCTCGCATGCCGGGATCGTCAATGTTGTTACAGACGCAGTCAAGACATTCAAGCGTCCTATCCATATGGTCAGCCAGTCTCTATCCTCACTGATCTTTGCCCCATCAACACCACGCCTGCATTTCCAGATCATAGGTGGTCTCCATCTTGGCGGGCCAGAGCTCGCAGACCGAATCGAACCCACCGTTGACTTCTTCGCGAACAAGCTACGCCCGTCGCCAACATACATCTTGCCCATGCACTGCTCCGGTTTCGCCGTGAAGGTCGCTCTGGAGCAGGCGTTGGGTGATGGTTGCGTGCCTGCGAGCACCGGGATGCGGATCGAAGTTGTCGGAAGTCCCGAGTCGGAGAAGGTGATGTTTCCCCCAGTTATTGCATGATAAATTCGGATTGAACAAAACTTGAATCATTGTGGTCGTGTGTGGATGCAGTGATTGTGAACATGAATTTTCGGAGCGCTATCATTCCCGGCATTTCAGCGTCACAAGCAGCGGGCCTCGCAATGTTATGAAGGCCTCCCGCAGACTATCCTCCCAGTTATCTACAGTTGCCTGATCTGCGACCGCCAAATCAAACTCGCGGACGATCGCGCACACTACAGCGCGCATCTCAGCCAGTGCAACGGCTTTGCCTGCACAGACCATAGGTCCATGGGAGAACGGCATAAACACCTCACGCTCCGCAACCACTTGCTCTTTCGGGACGATGACGCCTGAAATCAATGTGTACTTGTCTTGTTCAAGCCAACGGTCCGGCCAGAACGAGTTGGTCAGAGGCGCGAAATATCGGGGATCCCTGTGCATGGAGTATGCCCAAAGCGAGACTTGCGTTCCTTCGGGGATGAAGCTAGGAGCTGCATGATTACTTCGCGTGTTACGGGCACCGGATGTACTCACTGTGGGCCAAGCATTCTTCCACCTGTTCCGCGGCGAACCTCGCGCTGTAGACCGGTGATGACAGGTGGGTAAAGGCGTAAACTCTCGTTGCTAGGCGCCGTGCAAATCAGCGGTTTGCATATGCAGAAACGGGGGGATGGATCCACTGACATGCAAGCGTTCAGATAAGGCATTGAGCTTTGCAAAGACAAATCCGAGCTGATGTCCTCTTTGAGCGGAAAGGTCTCGTCTATCTCCTGGCGAAGACGCTCGTAGCATTTAGGATGCGTAAGTAGGAAGCACCAAAGGTGTGAGAGAGCAATGGCTGCTGTATCCGAGCCAGCCTAAACGAAATCGATAGATATAGCAAAGCGTCAGTGTGTAGTCACAACTTACTAGAGTAGCCAATTGACCGTCAATCATGGCCGTGATTTTCGAGGGTCTATCAGCTTCGTCTTCTCCCTCGCCGAGCTGCAAACGTCTTAGTCTACCTCACCATATTTGTACGGGTATGATGCACACCAAATAATGGAAGAGATCAGGATTTTCAGACCCCTTCGCGATCCTATGTTCAACAGCGGCTTCTCCAAGATCCTGCACCCGCTTGAGGGTCTTGCTTCCGCCTAAGAATTTAGCAAACGAGACTGTCCAGGGTATATATGAGAGCCATGAAGCCTCTCTGAACCATGTGAGGTCAGAACCATGTTTATCGTCAGCGGCATATGAATGTCACTTACATGAAGGCAATCTGAATGAGCCGTATCAGACCCTTTGAATCACCACCGTTGTTAAGTATGCCCATATCCTCGCTGAAGCTATATGATACAAGATTACGCGTAGTCAGTTATCATCTGGTAAAAAGTTAAGTGGCAGTCGTACCACATGTGACCCATGAAGTCGTACCTATAAAATCCATCGCTAAGACTGTCATTAATCTGGAAGACTACTACAGCAGCGACGCACCCGAAAAACGACATCCAAGCAGATATATCAAGCGATTCACCTTCCCGCTTGCGCAATGCAGTCAAGAGATCATCCGTCGTATTTTTTACGATACCCTCGTAGTACTTCATTGCTGAGCTGTTCATACCTCTTGTCCAAGTCCGTCGGCGCTGTGCATGAACCGACATGTCGCGGATCCCGTCTAGGCTCATACCGGCCTCGTGGCTTCTGGTCTCGTAATCTGTGTGTAGACAGTGTCAGCACAAGGCGAAATCAGCTTGGTGAAGGGGCGCACAAGGGCCACGAGGTAATCCCTTTACTCCAAGCGTGTTCTGAACTGCATCCCTATGAGTAATAGACAGTTCATTAGGTCCTAACAGTGATGAACAATAATATAAATGGTGGGATATGACAGAAGAAGTAATGGAGTCATACCGATTCGAACGACCTCTCCGTACTGTTCATGAAGCCGTTGAACGTAGAGGTACGATTTGCCATGACGCGCCGCCAGATACGTGAACCATATTTTTGACAGTTTGCACATCATCGGGCCCGGATAGTGAGCGAGGGGATGTAACGGCGATATGCGATAAGCTAGAGTGAGCGATACCAAGAGCGACCAGTAGCCGAGATATGTAGCGGCAAAAGCGCGTAGCAAGCTGGCGGAATGATTCGAGAACACTAAGGCCAATATGCAAGGGAGCAGCACCAGCAGCAGCGCAGATGTTGCAACTCCCGATGGTTCACATCGTTTGTAAATAAAGTATACTATCTGTCATGCACTGAGTAGGTCCCCGACAGCAATAACAAGGACCCATGACGTACCGTGCTTGTAGCAACGACAAAAACTGCAGGGTCGAGCATACGGACAGTGTCTAAGCAGCGCATCAGGATAACGCGGAGGATAGAAGATAGCCATGTCGACGGCCTATCCGACTTATATCGGTCCGAAGGGATGCGAACGTCATCCTTTACGTCTAAGGGAGTCGACAGTATGCATCAGATCGAGACCACCTGACCCGAATCATACCAAGCATGTCTTCCTATCTCACAAAAGATCTCGTTAGAATCATGCTGAAGCGTTCGCAGAACACTGACCGGTTCCCATGAACAAGGGCAGATCGGCCGCGCATGCCACAGTAATAGCTTGCTCGTTCTAATCGAGTTGAATTTTCGAGCATGAAATAAACGCTAGACAATCTGAGCAAATATCAAAGCCTGAAACCGTATAGGGTTTCTTCGTTATTTCGTTGACTGCCGCGCGTTGTGGCCGTGAACGCTTCTATGAGCATCTAAACTTGATTAGGCAGTGTAAAAAGAATGCTGAAAGCCCCAAACACCCGCATATAGCATACGCAAGGGTCGTGAGATGAACAAGATGATGTTAATGGCGAACATTTTGCATTTACTGACGAGAGCGATACGATACGACGACTTAGCACTGTAGCAGGTCTGGGCATGGTATTAGCGTGATTACCCAGAGGTTGCTTGTGAAAGAGGATACTTGGGGGTAAATAGTACTATGGCATCGTCGTGTCACAGGTCACAGCAATACGAGGGGAGGAAACGCAATGTGGCGTCCGAGTCGTGGGCCATCGAAGCGCGAAAGCACAGTGAAGCATATGTCAATACGCAAAAGAAGTCTTTTCGCATGGCCTGGTGGTCTAGTAGTATGATTCCTTCTTAGGGTTAATCAGACGATTACAATTTGGAGGAGGTCCCGGGTTCAATTCCCGGCCAGGCCCTGAGACGCTGCGTATGTATTGTTTTTTTTTTTGGCCTATTGTAAATTCTAACTTTTGATTGTTTTTTAGTATCTACTACTAGTAACTACTATAATTCAAACATCATATCAGACCGTAAAGCGATGCGTTTGCGAGTTGCTATTTTATATTCCCCGCAATCAATCAGACCACGTGGATCAGTTACTACTTAATATGAGCGCTACAGCATCAACTTTTTGGCAGGAGGTCGAAAGCCAAGGTACACATCGACTAGGACAACCCAACCATCATGAGCTCCACCCTTTCAACGTTGACCAACTCGCACAGGATTGTGGCGGCCAAGCGCCGCGCAAAGAGAGACCAGGTCAAAGAAGTCGTCTTTGATGAAGTAGCCCGCAGGTACGTTTGGTCGCCCAAGCAAATCTGCAGAGATCTGAACTGCGCGGACCTACCGTTTTAGGGATTTCTTGACAGGGTTCCATAAACGAAAGCTGCAGAAGAAGGAGGCGGCGAAGAAGAAGGCGGAGGATAGGGAGAAGCAGGAGCGGTTAGAAGCAAGGCGAGAGGTGCGTTCTCCTCTGTCTTGGATACTCGAGGCTCCTGAACTCTCTCTTGTAGAAACGGCAAATGCTCGCGGAAAAGGCTGCACAAAATGTGAGAGAGGTTGAAAAAGCCTACGGTGGGGACGTAGCAGAAGACGGTATGTCTCGTCGTTCGAGCGGCCTTCCTGAAATGCATGCAGTCGATTCACCTTCACAACTTAGACGAAGAGTGGGGAGGTCTTGGCTCTAGGAAAGACGAAGACGAAAGGGCTGATCCGATCGAAGAAGAGTACGAGGACGAAGAACAGCTTGCGACCGTGACGGTTGTCGAAGATTTCGACCCTGCGGAGCTACTACACGGCCCTAGTCGACCACATGAAGATGCTAACGATGGCGAGGATGAAGAGATGGAGGATGTGACGTCCGTAATGCCGACGCAGGACAAGCCGAAGGTTGTAGAAGCGAAGCAGACGAAGACGAAAGCGACGGCAAAAGCGAAGGACGTCAAGTACCAGACAAATGCTGCACGCAAGGTCGAAAGAGCGAAACAGATACGACGCAAAAAGGAGAAGGCAGAGCGGGCGGGTGGAAAGGGGATGCGAAAAGGAAAAAGGACTCAAGGCAGGCGATGATAAAGCTTCAAAATTACCTTGCAGTACGTCCTTCACCCCTGAAAATTTTGCTGCTAACCCCAATATTGCTTCGTACAGTACAGTGCGTTTTATGCATCCCCTACACTTTTATACTCCACGCAGTCTCTTTATCCGGAGGCTTTTTCCATCCTACCCACACGGCATACGGGCCGTCCAGCAGCTCGTCTATATTTGCATGCCAGATTTCCCATGTCTCGTCGCCACTCCCTTCGCCTTCATGTCCAGCGCGAAGCCATAGTTCAAGGAACTCCCGTATAACGTCCTCAGCTCTAAGTTCCACGACAACGACCACTACCGTACGCCCCCTTTCGGCGAGCGCGTCGATTGTTGTCACGAGTGGAGGCAGAAGCGAGGGGTGATAGATGCAATCAACGACGAGAATCAGGTCGAGTGGGGCGTACGAGTCCAGCAATGTATGACGTGCGGCGGGTGGTGCGTTGTGGATGGTCAGCCAATCTAGAGCATCCACTCTGACTTCGTCTTGTGTTGGGGCTACCTGTGAACGCGAGTGGGGCGCGGTACGTGGTTTCGAGTGTGGTATGTTGTTGAGTGTGAGATTCTTGGAGAGAAGTGGGACGAGCTCTGCAATATCGGTGACGGTGTAATGGCGAACTATAGGCGAGAGGAGAATGCTGAGCAGACCTGTCCCCGCGCTGTTCGAATCTAGGGTTAGGTGGTGCACGACTTGTACGCTGCTGGAGACCAGAACAGGTGCCTCACCCCAGTTCTACCACGCGTGCCTGGGAAAGTCGTGCGCGGTCAAATAAACTGTCGGTTGCTCGCGCGTACCACCGACGAAGTACCATTTGGGCAAAGTCGGTACTGCAGCGCATAAGCAATGGTCTCGGGCGGTTGAGCGACTTGGGTTTGCGTACCATGCACGCCATAAGACACTCCCTGTGTCGCCTTTACGGCTGTGTAAAGCCGTCGTGTCCTGCGCGAGCTGAACCGTGATGGTTTTCTCCTCTGGTGGTCGCAGTTTATGTCGATGCTTAGCACGGTCCCTCTTAGCATGTCTCCTCGCATGTGGTGTATCTGCAACCCCTGCACTTTCTAAGGCTGATTTAGACTCATCCTCGCCTATGCCAACATTGTCATGCACGACCTGCACAGTGAACTCGAGCGTGAGGACATCGTGGCGCGAGTCGAGGTAGCCGAGACCCCGAAACGCGCTGTTTGGTGTCGGCGCTGTGGTCTGAGAAGGATGGGCCGCCATTGACGTGTATAGGATAAAGACCTGTGTACCCGAAGCTTGGACATTAATGCAAAGGAGGTCAGCAAGTTGAGGGGTATGTGCAGCCGACCTCCTCGTCTGCGTCAAGCACGGGTGCCGATCCTGGGGGCAATTGACAAAGTCCTATCCTCGGCGCCGAATCCTGTAGCTCGTTCATGGAGAGTTAACGCGTGTATGTTTTTCGGAGAAAAGAGTTGGGAATCGAGATGGAAGAGGACGACGCGTTGGGTTCCGGGCGTTGTTGTCCTGTATTTGGATTGTGGCGGCAGCGTGTTCTGCGCGGACCACGTCCGCAGGTCGTCAATGTTCCTTTAGCACTTCATTGTTCTTCTACCCTTTGATTACTGTGGCTGGCCATGAACTCGTTATACACGCTTGGCGTACGACAAACAAACTCAATACAGGCTGACTTGGAAAGACTGAAGAATGGGGACACGTCGGCAGCGTTACTAGGTCTGCATCTTCCACTTCGGAATGTCAATTTCTATCATTGCGACTATGTACATTGAGACATATCGGAATGAATCCCTCTCGGCATTCTTCCCCGATTTATCATTTCTGAGAGAGAAGGAACGCTTTCTGACGTCTGGCAGGGCAGATATCGGCGTCGCTTGCCGCAATGAGCCGCACAGTGGATGACTATGACTCTATGGCTAAGCGCGAAATTATCAAAGCGAAGCAGGAAAAGGCGATGATGTATGTATAGTTTGATCAATATCATTATACGCTCCTACTCACATGGTGTCGGATGCGATAGGCGGGTACAGAAATTCAGAGCGGACTATGCAGAACTGAGGGGACAGTTCGAGAAAGTAAAAACAGAGGTGCGCGATTACCTATCGTAACCTCCTCAACAGCTCTCAAAATCTACGCTTTCGTAGCGCGACGCTGCCGCACGCTCAGAACTCTTCTCTGGCGCATCATCGTCTACAACACCCATATCCCCCATGGCAACAAGCGACTCCCGGCGACGCCTCTTCGCCGGCCAGTCGTCGTCCCTAGGGTCAACTTCAGATGTGTCCGAGTCGCCGTTCCGGGGGCCCTCACCGATATCTGGCTCAAATCTTCGCGAGCAGCATGCGCTCCACGAGCATTCTTTCATACAGAACACGGATTCAAGACTCGATGAGTTCATTGCGCACGGACGCGCGGTACTGGACGACCTGAAGGATCAGCGGAACGTGTTGAAGGGGACGCAGAAGCGGCTGTTGGATGCAGCGAATACGCTAGGGCTGAGTCGGGACGTGATTGGCTGGATCGAGAGGAGAAGGTGAGCACGATCTTTATGAGATCCCATTTGACTATGCGGTCTCACCATGAGTTTAGTACCCAGGATATGTATATCTTCTTCGCCGGGGCTATATTCACTTTCGTGTGTTTCTATTTGATCTGGAAATACCTAGGTTGATTGCGTCTTTTCCTACAGTATCTTCGTTGCTTATTACTGCCTTTTGGTCTGTATTTATACCGGACTCTACATCCTCCCATACATCGTTGTCGTTCTAAAATACGCTCAAGCCGTGGTCCATCACAGGAAGAAAAAACGTTCCGAGTCGATGTGAGGCGTCGCTTATGACTTCAAGGGCTTCTATAGCGACTCAAAGTGACACGGGAGGCCATGACAAGCTATGTGATGAGACAAAGGATGGCCACGCTATCGTATCTGGATGGCCTTTGTCTCGCAGATGGATGGCATTTGTCTTGCAGCAGGGTGGCCTTTGTCTGTTGTTTTGTGTTCTCATACCACTCAGGTCTAGGCATCTTCCTCGCGACCATTGGGATATAAAATCCAGCGAGTCACAGCATATGAAACTCAAACTTCAACCCAAACTTTCCCTCTCAATTTCCCGACCACTGTACACACCATGACACCGGTGCGTAAATTCCGTTTCCTATCGTACAACTTGCTCACTGAAAAGTCCAGTCTGACCCGATGGCTTGTGTGCATCCCTACGCCCAAGAGCATGACCAGAACGATTACCTCAAGGACGACATATTCTCTTCCCTGCCCTGCGGCCGGCAGATTGTCCCTCAACCCACATACTACCCATGCCATAAGCCTGAGGATCAAACTGCGTTACAGTTTTGGACTGTTAACCGGGGTGTGAAGATGCTCGGCCTCCAGCTAAGTGAGGCCTCAAAATGGCAATGCGAGCCTAAGGTGCTCTACTTTGCGCGCCATATATTTCCCTTTGAGGACATGTCTCTGGTTATAAATGTAAGCCCATTCGGTTTATCGACTCAACTGCGCTCAATGTTGTTGATAGTGGCCGGGCCGACGTCAGTCGTTGACCAAGATCGATACGAGCAATGTGGAATGGGCCCCGATTGAAATGCCCGGCTATCTTGAGCTGTGGAAGATGGCACGGCTAGTGGCCGATGAAGTACATAAATTTTTGACCGTAAGTCTCCACATCATGGCAGTCGACTCACGCTCACGCGCCGCCCCCGTGCTGCACCAGAAACCTCCTAAGCTGATCGATTCTGGGTTTCTGAATCCCCAAACAATGAAATGGGATATATCTGGCGGAAACCACCCTTCTGCGATGGAGAGGCTGTACCTCGTCGAGCTCCGTCTTGTCAATCTGAGTG